CAATTTTGTTCAAGCGTGTAGTGTCCCATTTCGAAAATATCAATCATATAGCTGTGCTTACTGTTCGTCATTTGTTTGTCTGGGCGGTCCGTAGGACCTTTGCTCATTAGTCTCTTTATAATGTACGTTAGTCGAATCTGTCAGTCCTGGTTGCCCAGAGACCAGACAATGTCAATGAAAAAGAGAAAGGGAAAGAGAAGAAGCAAGGAGAAGAGCAAACCGAAGTGTTCAGTTTAAGAGGAGGCTTTTTGACTTGGTTCACGGATTCATTTTGAGATGAGCTGAACAAATTTTGATTCAGGTTTTGTTAGAGTGTAACTTTGGGTTCACTTAAAGTTTGCGCTAATTTTTTATTACAGTGCGACCCGTGGCCTTGAATGTTTACGAACTTGCTCCAATGTGTATTCCACTGAATCAAGTAACAGAAGGTTGCTGAGCGATTTCGCTTGACTATAACGTTGCTGCGCCTGAAGCTTAGCATAATCCCTCAAGTAAGAAATGTCAAGGTCTCTGTGTAGTGTCTCATTTGAGACATACCATGGAGCGTTACAAATTGTTCGCAGAGTTCTGCTTTGCAGTACTTGAAGACTTTGCTTGTGTGTCTTGGCAAGAAAACACCAAGCCGCACATGTAGAAGTAATAGCTGGTGCATATAGCTTTTAGTTTCTGTAACGTCAAAATGACACTTACCCATTCGATAACAACATAAACTGTAGTTCAAATTTCAAACACTAGGTGGCCTACATGGGCGCCCATTGTCTTAACAAGTCTTAATAAGATACCCAATCCTTGGGCGTGAGTGAGAACATCCCAACATAGAAGCTAATAGTTTTGCTACCATTTAGAATAGTTGCTACCTTGCCCCGTCTTCAATTGTCACCAACGAGTTGGCTAGTTCTCAACATTTTTGATCCTGCATAACCTGTAAACCAAACATGCCTCCCCTTGGATTTTGCTATATGGGCGGTCAAGGTGGTCCAACCTGTATATGTATTAACTTCTTATCTCAAAAACACTTAAGCAATCATCCTGTGAAGTATTGGACACTTCTTGAGAAACGTCCTGTAAGGGGCAGTACCTAGCCAGTGCTACCAAGGGTGCGCTTCCCAGTTTGAGAACGAATGCCATATACTCGTTCATATAATGTATATCATGCTCGACCTGTGTATTTTTTGCGCTAACACCGTATATTGTCCGATTGTAGTTTTTGGAAACCTGTAGTCATGGAAGAAGCTGGAAACTGTTCGCTGAAAGTATCAAGCTGGACGAAGCATACTTAGCAAGCCGGTGTGAAAATTGGGACACACTGAAAGACAAGAAATGTGGAGGGCAGATAGTACCTATGGGAGAACCAACCCCCACTGACGTTAGAGGAATTTATTACTTGGAGACTAGCGATACAAAACCTTATGTGTTGAATGAAAATAAAATAGATTAATAAAATGGCTATTTATTCAACTGCAGTTATTATTTGTTCATAAAAACTTGTAATGATATCGTAATGTTGTCAATGAGCAATGCAGGCTCAGATTATGCCAGATATTAGATATTTATATTTCGGGATGTATCGAAGGTATCTGCTTCGTTTATATTATATCAAGTCCTCAAGTGGCTGGAGAGTGAGGCCGCCGCGCTATCTTCAATGACTTGAATTATTCTCATATTTTTCGGTTTGTCTCAAATTGCTATTCAATACTTTTAAGTTTTGCAGATGGAAATAAAACAACACGTTAGGTAGTTTCAAATGACTTTATTGTTTTTCGAAGTATTCTCCACGAAGATTAATACACATCTGCATGCGATCGAACCAATTTCCGAAGCACTTATTCCACTCGTTTGCTGGCAGATCGAAAACGGCATTTTTCAATGCGTCAACTGCTTCTTCTGGTGACTGGAACCTTTGACCACACAGTCTGTTTTTAATTTTCAGGAAAGTAAAGAAATCGTTAGGACTATATGGAGGATGGTCCAATAATTTCACGTTTTCTTCCGTTAAATACTGCCTTGTTTTTTGAGCTGTGTGTGAGCTTGCATTGTCTTGGTGGAGGATGATTCTTCTTTCGGGGTTGATTTTTCGAAGCTCGGTGACGACTTTTGGCAAACAAATGGTGGTATACCAATCCGCAGTAACAGTTCTTTGCTCATTAAGAGGAATTGTTGCAATATGACACAAATTTCGCGACCATCTTTTTCGAAACACTTCGAGAACGGATGACTTTTGTTGGCTTTTCTTCACCTTGGAACACCCAAACAGCCGACTGTCGTTTATTTTCTGGTTCATAACAGTAAATCCACGATTCATCACCACTAACAATGCTGTACACATTTTTGAGTTTCCGGAATTGAAACGGTCAAGCTTTTTTTGACGCCAATTAACCCTGGCTGCTTTCTGCTCTTCAGTCAACTGGTGGGGTATCCAACGAGAAACTAATTTTCCAGCTCCTAATTCTTCATGTAAAATTTTTTGAATCGAGGTCTTTGAGATCTTCAAGGACGCCTGTATCTCGCGATATGTCACATGTCTATCTTTCCTGGGTGACTGCCGTTTTTGGTGCACCCACCCTGAGTTCGTCGCTAAGTCCACATTTAAATTCTCCATACCAACGGGAAATTCTCGACTGATGCGGCGCTTCGTTGCCGAAAACAGACAGTATCTGAGCAAGGCATTCTTGTTGCGATAATTGTCTCTGAAAGTTGTAATAAATTATGGCGCGAAAATGTTCGCGGTTGAGTTCCATTTTTCTAATGATTTGGTGACACTTGAAAATTCACTGTAGCGAGAACACTGCACGTATTGTTGTGAAACTTTGAATTTAAGTTTACTAAAGAGTGAGGTTAAGATTCAGTACTGACGTTCGATCCGCGCGGCTTATTATGTTTCTATATGCAAAACTTAAAAGACATCCCTCGTACATTCAGAGGATTGGTCTTATATATATATAGTCATCGAAAATTACATAACCAAACGTTCACAATTTGCTGGGTTATCCAAATCGTTTCGTAAGGAAATGTGCTAAATGTGCTGATCCATAGGGAACAGTCGTATAAGTCGACTACTATTCAATGTATATTAAAACGATGTATTCCAAATTGATTGATTGTCAGCAGAATAACCATTTCCTCCTTACTATAAACATTTAACAAATTCCTTCAACATTAAATGTCAAAAGCTACAAATCGGTAGAATACCAGATACAAAATATATCCATGTTGATTATATTTAAGAAAAGTTAGATTTAGAGAAACTTAAATCCTCTCGAATACTTTGACAGATCAGTACCTTCATACCTCATACCATACATACAATTGAATCTAGTGTTGTCGAGCCAGCAATTTTTTCAGTGCTTCTACCGAAATGAAACCACATTTACCGAATTTCTTGAAATATTTCAGATATTTACAGATTTTTTACCAAAAAAGGGCTGGAATGAAATGAAAAGCTAAAAAAGCGACTTATATGTTATTCGGTGCTGATTTTGAGCGGATATTCTCTGCTATAATTCTTTTAACGGATTTTGGCGGTTCAAAGTAAAACTACAGGAATTGCTTTCATACATCCATCTCTCTCATACATTCACATGCTACCTACTCCTGTGTCAACGTTTGTTCGGCAAGCTCGTGCTAAATTTATCAGAGTGTTTCCAGGAAGAGAATGAAAACAGCAGTCCCCTGTTATCCACTTCATGCGTACTGGAGAGAGTCGCAGATGCGCTGAAAATTAGTCTGCGCCCATGGTACGGAGACTCGATCTGTTTACTTATTTCATATGGCGTTGATGACGTAAGCGCCAAGAACGGTGACTACAACTATACTAATGAAAACGAGACAAGGAAATAGATTATGTCAATGTCAGCATGATTTCTACCATTTCCAAATAACATTGGTATAACTTCAAAGAAGATCGTAACGTTTTCTTACTTCAGTAGAAGTACTGATGCAAGATTCACTCGCGCTCCAAATTTCGTCTAAATATTTTTTTCGGTTTAGTTCACTTCTAGTTTTTGGAAATAGAAAAAGACATTTCTAAAGTTTACTTTTTAGCTGCGAACTGGTTAGTTAGACCTTCTAATCGATTTTACCCTGGTGGTAAAATTAAAAATATTGCAACGGATTTTGAACCACATTATTACATTAAAATTACTATTTTTCTTGGTGTAGTCGTTATATACTATTTTTGCAAAAGAATTACAAAATTAACTATTGGGATGTTTTTAAGTTTAATTTGATTTTATATTCATTAAAAACCTGTGTATGCTTGTGTTCTGTGTGAAATAATAATATACCATTTCTCCAATTTGTTTTTATGTTTAAAGGAAACCTGTGTACCTGTGTTGTGTGTCCGGGCGTAATGCAAAAATATACTTCTTTTTATAGTCGCGCTGCGTGACTCTAAGACCCTCGATCAGTCTTTGATCTTGTGTCGACCCTGATTATTCTTCCTATCGATTTTGCCCTTGAATCTACTGAATTGCAGTGACACTAACTTCCGATTTCGTGTTTTTCGGTTCGACAACAGTGATTGAACCTCATCTCGGCCCCTAGAGCATGTTTAACATATATTAATAATTCAGATATTTATTCACTCATTTTATTTTCTTTGTACTTGTACTGAGTAAATGCATAGTTATTATTATTATAAAGTATGTGAAATATTTTTTCATAATCTCTTGTCTGATTTTGTAAATTATCTTTCGACAGGAGCTAAGCATATTTTATTACTGCAACTAAAAACACTTTCGTACCACTTTGACAATTCCAAGATACGTTCGGTTTCGGTTCAATCGACTTCCAAAAAAGATGAAACTATTGACTTGATGAAACTTCAAAAAGATCAAATTACGGTCTCAAGTAGCAGCGGGCTCCTAGATGTGAAATGTCAGAAAATTGAGTGCTATGCAACATGCAGTTCGGTTCTAGACAATACTGTTTTTCATTTGCCTCGATAGAAACAATAAGCAATATCGATAAGCTAATTAATTAGCTATTCATTGTTATTCCAAATCTCATAAGCCCACATGTTAGCTTGTATAAAACATAGTAATTCTAGATTAATTTAAACATTCTTCATCTGTCAAGAAAATGGCCAAGATTCAATTATTTAGTTTAGTATTTAATATTCTCATCCCAGCAAGCGTTTTGCAAGGTAAATATGTGTTATTTTGTTTTGAAACATATATTGCACCTATGCTGCATTATCCTCAACTAGTTACTTGAAAGGTATTGTTTACCAAAAATATGAAAATTATTTAAAACTATGTCTAAAAAGCTTGTAAGTCTTGTGACACTTGCTTGACAATTGAGCATCATTTACAATACACTTCTATAAATTATATTTCAAATTTATTATTAAAAAATATTATTATATAAATAAAAGGTATCAAAGGCCAATTAAGATTTTATTCTTCAGTAAGGATAGAGCGCGTATTTAAACCATACATGGTTTTTAAAAGTTTTGCGACAAAAACCGCAGATATACAGCTCTTTTTCGTTACCTGCCTTCTTCCATTCCACCTTCAGAAAAACTTCAATTGTCATTCTAGTAGGACTCCAATTACTTTGCTAATTTTTCCCATTGTTGGTGTTGAGGGACGAAAAACAAAACTCACCAACAATGGGTATACTACGGCTTGGAAAAAATACAACCCCGTTTTTTCGTAGCTTAAAGTATGGTGGTCTACCCAAAAGAGCTATATATGCTGAAGCTGAGAGATTTTTTGTTATATCAGCATATCTAGTCTCTCCTAGTCACTACATAAGTTTATACCATGTTTGAGAATCAACCAGTGGGTATGATGATAAGAGCTTAAATATATGGCAAATAACTGTTACACATAGTGTACCAAATCCACAACTTGCTGTAATATACCGGGCATTTCAAACTCGACTCTCACCATTGAAATCTCGAAACGGTAAGTGGTAAGAATTCGCTTGCTGCGTATTTAGGTAACTAATAAAATGCTCAAGTTTCAAAATTCAAAGTACTTCCGGAAAGAGATGGAAAAAACGAATTTTCGTAGAATCGTTATAATTTTGTATCAGCTTCTGCCCCCTTTTCCCCTTCATGAGATGGCGTAATTAGAATTTCAATATGACATTTCGTCTCTTGTCCTCCAGCATCAACTTTATCTTTTCTTATGGCCCAAGTTGGATTTTGATTTTTTATTTAAAAAAAAAAACAGTATTTTCTTGGTAGGCCTTGAAATTATCAGATAGTCATTTGTTTCGTATGCCAGATTTATCTCAAAATCATGTTTCATATTTCCTGTCTTTACTTAAGATGGGATTTTAAAGAAAATTACATGTTGTCATTGTCACTTTGTTTTTTCATATACACATTATATTTTAATTTTGTACATTTTACTGGAGTTTTCAGTCTTAAATTCAGTGATATATTTCGTTAGTTGATCATGAATTTGTTGTTGGAACGAAAATTATAAGGAAATAAAATAGGTATGGTGAAGCCTGAACGCGAAATGAAAAATATACTGATGGTAATAATAATAATCATGAATAAGCAGAGGTAAATGATAGTATATTAGATGCTCAAAAATCCTGTCCGTTATCTTATAGAAAAGACCTGACTTTCCTCTGTACATCGTTCACTGCTCGGTTTATTTCCCTTATTCTCAGTCTTCCAAACTTCTGTTACGATGTTCAATTTTAGGTCTGATCTAGTATACGAAACAACAAAAATGATCATTTCATGGCCTAGTAAATTTTGTTTTTCTGCAATAACTAAGGTTTGACAATAACGATGTATGTAAACTTTTTCGGAATCAGAATTATAAGATCTATTCACCTCCCATGCGATCTTTCGTGGTAAAGGCGAAAAAGTGGCAGGGTTAATGTGCTACTTATTTTGAAATCCCACTACAAATAAAGTCAGAAGAAAACGAATACGATTTTGGGTAAATTCGTTTTTTTCCTTCTCCCTCCGGAATTACTTTTTCTAAGCAACGTTTTTTTAGTTACCTAAATATATAGTAAGGACTACCCAGCTTGGGAGCATGGTATCTCGAAAACCACTCGTAAAAAAACTTTGCGCCCATAGACTGCGACATCTTTTCTAAGAGGACAGTTAATTTTTGATTTCATGATATATTTATTTGATTGATTAAGGTATAGTTTTTGTAATGTTTGTTTGTTTAAGATGTCTTTCCAGAAGAAGAAGCTAAATTTAATCCACTGGATCGATTTAGATTCGAGAATGTGGACTTCAGTTTAGCAGATGCAGTGGAATCGGATGTCATTTTCAAATACTACAGTGACGCATATCAAATAAATCCTAGAATTTTAACGATAGGGTCGGTTAGTGGACATATGGATAAAGAGGCAAAAACGGTATATATGATTCATGGGTGAGTATGAAGGCGGAAACACACGCCTAGAGGCGTAGGAAGTAAAAAGTAATGTTTTCAATTTAAACAAAAATCATAAGTTTCTATTTGTTTGCTCTTCGCTAGGCCTATGCCGTACTGATGATTGCTGAAAAGCATGAAACAACGTTGTATATGGCTGGTTATGTCCACAGAGACGAAAAACATATCATAGACAACCATTATTCTGTCAATTAATCTCTTTTATTTTCTTACGTGAGTTTGTGAGTACAATCATTTTGTAGTTTTACCTGTAAAGTTTGAGGGACACTATGAAAAGTTGATTCCATCTTGTATTGCAGTATGGTTTTCAACAATTGGCGATATCCCGGCTTAAATGGTCTGTGGATTCAGTTTCAGCAACCCAATTGTACCCAGCATGGTTAAAAAATAATACTCGTAAAGCATGTTCTCAGCACATACTGCTCATATCCTTTTAAAGCATATTCTCTTGATGAACACTGGGAGAATATGCGAATTAAGAATACTCGGAACGAACATGTTCTTAGCATGTTCACATAAGGGATATCGATTTACTCACATTCGGAGAATATTCATTTTTAGGACATGCCAATAGAAATTCTTTTTGCCACGTGATAGTAACATTCCACCACATAATAAAAAGGAATATTCCTGGCACGTGTTGACCGCATTCCATCAGAATCCGTGTGCCCGAGAGACCAATGGCAAGCCGACCCGCTTACCGGCTTCCATTTTGTTTTATTCCATGTCTGTAGGTATGTAACATAGCGTGCATCGTGTGTGTCTCAAGTGGTACATTATTTAACAGTGTTTTTGTGGAAAATGGTCAGCTTCGTGCTAATTATTCACGTCAATTCATCTGACTAATGGACATTATTGTGTCAATCAAGTAAGGTGTCTACAAGATCATAATCTCCAAAAAGATCTCCTAACAAGAAGTTTAGTTTTTAGTGAGAAGAAATTGGCATATGCAGCTGCTCATGATGGAGAGAAGCAGAAAGTATATGAATAGAACAAGAAAAGCAAGAATAGGCGTTTAGAATACGACAGAAGGAGACCTTGAATTTTCATGAATACAGACATATGACATACACATTTTATTATAAATACACACACACACACAAACATTAATCAGTGACTTAACTCATCTGTACTCATTTATAATGATATTCTCTATCGAGCAATTAACACCTTTGCAGAGAGTTTTCCAGCTACCTTTTGAATTTATAGTTATACACAAGATGACACCGATCCATGGTTCCGACCATTGAAAAGAGAGCTTTTCATACAGAGACAATTCAACATAGTCTACATAAACTGGGTAAAAGCTGGGAATAAATCATATGACGTGTCCAGTGCTAATATCAATCCGGTAGGAAAGTTTATTGCAGACTTCATTGTCGCCTCTGAAGTTCCACCAGGCCTCATCCATATTATTGGTAAATATCCGATTTGAAAAATTAATATAAGGTGTTTTCAAAGTTGGAACTGTCCTTTATAAGGCGTATAGTTTTTGTAAAAATAAGCGAACGATGCTTGTTATACCTCAACCAAAGCATTAAGTATTATTAGGTTCAGAAAAAAACCTGCAATACCAAATCCGGCCCCCTACTCCTGGTAAAGGATGAAATGATACGAAGTGCGAGAGCATTCAACCCAGATGCTGGGCGCCGTGTAAGTAAACCAAACTGTTTATTTAGAAATCGAATTAAAAAAATGGCATCGAATAGGTTGACTTCCACGCAACGCTGTCATCAAATCGTCAAATTATTAGGTTCAGAAAAATCCTGCAATACCAAATCTGGCCCTACCTCTGGTAAAGGATTAAGTGGAAAGATATAGCCTTTGTCAGCATCTAACCGAAGCGCTGGATGGCATGTAGGTAAACCGAGCTGTTTATTTAAAAATCAACTTCAAAAAATCGCATCGAGTAGGATGAATCTGCACTTCCCATAAAAGGCTATCATCAAATTATTAGGCTTAGGTAAAGGATTAGGTGAACACATACGACGTGATGTTATTGATGAAAAACCGGTTATAGTTTGACCGGTTATTATATCAATTACTTTAACCGGCACCGGTTAACCGAACCAAAAACAGGTTATATGATTAACCGGAAAATAACATTTATTTTTGTACACAGCAGCATTTATGCACAAACTTACGTATTGGTATAGTTTCTTTTAATACCCGCATATGAGGGGGGGCGTTGGAGAAGTGCTCAAGGATAACAAAAACAACATAGCAGTAATATTCAATGCGCCCATATTTACTGAGATTTGTGTTGATAGAAAAGCAAACATATTTCTTCCGGTTGTTGAATTTTTTTAACCGAAAGCAAATTAACAGTATATTTAGGAATAACCGGTTAAAACCTGTCAATTAATTTAGAAAAACCGGTTATTCAATTAATTGTTGCCCATCTTTAGCCACAATCAGACAGTCAGTAGCGATAGCACGATACTTTAGGCGACATGTATCAGAGAGATCATGGAACGAGCGGCCAGAGACACGTATTCCTCTTATCATACTAAGTCTTGAGGACATTATGTCTGATGCGTCGATTTGTCTGATGGGTGTGTATGAAGAAATAATTTTGTTTTTGAATCCAACGGGGACAATTTTAACCGCTCCGTACGCTTGAAATTGTTACTAGCATAATGCTAAATATACTGCTCTTGGATCTTCATACTCCAATCGTGGAGAAAATATTATTTACCCACATTAGGCAGCAGCGATGCCCGCAGTAGCAGACTCTTCGGTCTCCTGATCAGTCGCCGTGCGCTGTGCGGGTTCGAATCCCGTTCCAATAGAAATTTTTAACCAGAGCTCTTGATATGCATGATCACAGAAATACACTAAAAGGAAAAGTTGCGGCTAAGGAATCAGCCAGGGATCCGCTATTTGAACGTGAACAATAATTTAAAACAAAAAATCAAGGACCGAATAAAGGAAAAAAGGAGAAAGCATATTTTTTGAAAGTACTGCAAGATGAAAGTAATCATAACAAATTTCAAACAAATTACGCAATAACATTACCACTTTTTCTCTTCGACACGGCATAATTAGAATTTCGATCTGATGTTTCAGATCTGTTTTTTAAAATTACGAGTATACAGGTTTTGATGTTTTCATGATTACCATTAAATAATATAAATAGGTTACGTTATGTTGTTCCTCATTCGATGACCTTAAACCAACTGCCAAAAAATGTTTATAATAATAACTATATGACTTGCTGTAATATCTGAAATCAGAATTAAAAGCTATTCGCCTATGCAAAAAGCCATATATAAGAAAAAAAAGAAGTTGAGACGGGAGATAAGATTCGAAAAATCATATTAATGTTGTATTTATGCCACCTTGCAGTGATCAAAAAGTGGCAATGTCAATGTGCAGTTCATTTTGAAATTCTATCTAAATAAATTCAAAAAAAATAGAAACGATTTTAGAAAAATTCGTTCTCCTTTTTTATATATCTCTGGAGATACTGGAAGCGTCAAAACGTTTTAAATGCATTTTATGTAATGTAACATATAAATAAGCAGCTTTCCTACCATTCAACCGTGTCGTATCTCTTACCGTTTCGGAGAACACATTGGTGGAAATATGACAAATTTGTTTCCTAAATCATTCTAGAATAAAGTAGGTACATATCCAAATTTCCAGTAATTGCAGAAAACAAAGAATAAATATCAACAAAGAGAAATCATTTCCGGAATTGTATAATATGCTATATTCCCGGCTATATCAAAACTTCTCCCTTTGAAGTGGCATATTAGAATATACTGAAAGATGTACGGTGTTCCATTGAAAAAAGTCGTTTTTGTTGTCATGTCTGTATAAATCACTCTGTAGGAAGCGGTATATACCAAGTAGGAAGAGTATGTACTCCATAATTTTTATAAATAAGATTTTTCATTACGTTTTATAGTAAATTGTCCAATTAGATACTAGAAACTCACGGTGTATGTCTAATTTGTTACAGCAGTTACGTCGCTGGATAGATTGAGCATTTTTGTTTCGATGTTAATCACTACAAAACCTTTAACTTTTGGGTACTATTTCATATTTATTCTTATGCACTTTTCGGCAAAAAATTAATTGTTGCAACAAACTGGACATACCCATTTTGTACGTGTTTTCATAGATTTCCCAATTCTTCTATAGACTTATAATTTTGAAGTTACCCAGAATTTTTTAATTTGTGGTGAGGGGCCGTTGCATTAACTCTAAAGAATATACATACAGGGTGGCGCATCGAAAACGAAACAGACGCATTTACTGGCAGCTCAGTTTTTTTTTTGAAAAAACGCTCAGGCCCGTCGATTTTGTTTTCGAGGGGGACACAAGTTTGGCAAAAAATCACGTTAGTACGTGCAGCCCCCTAAGCGGGGGTGACACCACCTCCAAAATCTTAAATGGAAATTGGGGTCGAGTGATACCTTATTTTAAAGGTCTTTCAATTCCTTTATAATGATATAAAATTAATGTACTTCAGTTCAGTAGTTTTGAAGATTTATTGATTTAAAGCTAAAATAAAACTAATACATCATCATTAGTGGAGATCAATACATTTGGCCGCAAAGTAATTTAAAAATGAAGAATGAACTGACCCGTTAGGCAAGTAAATGTTGAAAATGGCCACCATGACTCTCCATGCAATAATAAAGATTTTGCTCAAAACGTTGCCGCACATTTTGCAATATTTGAGGAGTAGTTTGAAGGCACTCATTCACAATTCTTTGTCGCAGGTCTTCTAATGATGTTGGCTGAGTAGCATAGATTTTGCTTTTTAAATTACCCCACATAAAGAAATCCAAAGCTGATAAATCTGGCGATCTTGGGGGCCATTCAATGGCACCTCTTCTACCAATCCATCGATCTGGAAACGTCTGATCTAAATATTGTCGAACACGTAATGCGTAATGTGGTGGGGCACCATCCTGTTGGAACATCAACCTATTCGCAATGTACCGCCGATCATTCTGATTTTCAATTATTGCTGTTAATGCAGGATCTATGGCGTCTTCCAATAATTCCAAATACATTTCACTGGTCAAATTTGCAGGTAAGGAAAAGGGACCAACTAAATGATCGCCAAAAATACCAGCCCAAACATTTAATTTTTGTGGCTGCTGTGTATGAACCTCATGATAAATTCTGGGATTAGAATCGGACCAATATCGGCAGTTATGATGATTTACTACGCGATTTAAGAAAAAGGAACATTCGTCGGCTATTTTCATCAACAAAATGATAAACAAACCATGGGCGTAGTGAAGAAAAGCATTTACTTATTAAGTAAATTCTTTTAGTCAAATTTCTTCTGAAAGTAGTTCAAACTAATCTGATGTACCTATTAAAGTCTACTTTAAGCTTTAAATCAATAAATCTTCAAAACTGCTGAACTGAAGCTTATGTATTTTACATCAAATGAAGGGGATTGAAAGACCTTCAAAATAAGGTATCACTCGACCCTCCTTTCCATTTAAGATTTTAGGGTTGGTGTTACCCCCGCCCAGGGGGCTGCACGTGTTAACGTGATTTTTGACAAACTTGTGTCCCCCTCGAAAACAAAATCGACGGGTCTGAGCATTTTTCCAAAAAAAACTGAGCTGCCAGTAAATGCGTCGTTTTCGATGCGCCACCCTGTATATACAATCCTTCTGTACAATTTCTGTTACAGCTCCACATTTGGCTTGCTTGAATGTTTCAAAAAAGTAATCGTAGTAGTTTTCCATGTCCATATGAATCGTCAAATCGTAGTGGAAGACTATACAGGGTGACTTCGAAGTTGAGTCATTTATTTTAACAGTGAGTAGATCTGATCAAAAGAAATGTTTTTTCCTTTACCATTTTTCTGGTAAAATTAAAGTAACAAAGTTATAGCCCTTTGGAAGTTTGAGTACCGCCCTGTCTCAATAATAATATTATGTGCTCGTGTTTGGCAACATCGGATATAATCCGCCTTATCGGTTCATCGCATCGGAAACAAAAAAGCGAAAGAATTTGGAACGATGTTTTTACAATTATTTTATTCAGTTGTATACAGTCAGTGTCAGTCGGTAACGCGTGAGTGAATAGTGGTGTTTGTTGCGTGGCTCAAACGAAATCAAAAATGGCACATGTTTACGAAAATGCTGAACTTGTGGACATGATTCTTATTTACGCGGCATCACGGATTTATGCGGATCGGTTTCCCTATCGAGTGCAACCAACCCCTCGTGCCTTTGTTAATGTAGTACAAAGGGCTCGTGAATCAGGTGACTTAAGACCTCACAGGGGAGGCCATGCCGGTGCTCCAAGACCGCACGATCAAATACAGGTCCCCACTGAAATACCTGTCGGGAGGGTACTTTATAAAACAAGGTAACATTTTTTTTTTATTTTTTTTATTTTTACACACATATTTTGGTTTATCTTCCTTCTACAATCATTATCTGAAAATTAATGACTCAACTTCAAAGTCACCCTGTATAAATTAAAAGCAAATAGAAAGAAAAATATCAAGTATAGTTATGAAGATATGATTTGTGGAACTTCCGCCAAAAATTTTTTTAAGGTGCAACCCCCCTTCCAGTTTGAGCTGGGTACGCCCTTGTCTTGAGACGTTTTTTCACGGAAACCTGTTACATGATTGTGTGTGGATGTGAATTTTATATGAAATTGAGAGATTGTCTACATACCCTAGAACACTTTGATTAACTGCTTCTAGGTCACTCTCTGGGAGCACATTTAGCAGGTTTCGTGGGTAAATACGTCTTCGCAATGACTGGTAAAAAAATCGACAGAATCAGCGGTCTAGACCCTGCTGGACCCAAGTTTGATTACCCTGTAGCTCCTTCACAGAACAGACTATGTGATACTGACGCTAAATTTGTGGACATCATCCATACGGACATGCAGGGCTATGGGTACACTCCACCTTTGGGGCATATTGACTTTTATCCTAACAATGGAACGGATCAACCTGGATGTCCAAAGCAACATTTCAAAGGTAAATTCCGCCAAACTATACATAACTCAAATCCATCCACGAGGAACCTAAAGCCAACCATGCACGCTAAGACTCTGTCTCATAATCATAATGAACATGCTTGCCCTGTGAGGTACCAGAGCTGATAACTGAAGGGTCATGTCATACTTTTCAATAGTAATTCGTAAAAGTTAATTAAAAGAAGTCGCTTTAATAAAAACCGTAATAACTGATATGTAAAACAATACCTGATGGGTTTGCCTGAATAGTTATGTGCGAATGTGCGCGATTTTTTTGCATTTATTTATTACATTTGACCATATTAATGAAAGAATTGGAAATAGATGAACCAAAAAATTCCCCATCTTGGATACCCCCAACCCTAAGCCCTTTGCAGCGTATTTTATAGTCTGTTTACTTGCGCCGTCAAAATCTGGCCGCAAAGGTCACATGATTCAAAATGTTACCGGACGATAACCCGGTGGAATTCAATCATTTTTTTTCAAATACGTCACAAGAAATTGAACGCGAACTTTGTGATTCGGGTCCATAAATCCTAAATCCGTCACACGGATATTATGGTCATATTCAATACTTGAAAACTTATGATTTTTGAGGTTATCAAATGTTTAAATTAAACTAAACATGCTGCTCTCGTCCGTCCAATCAGACAACTAACCATGGACAGCTGTTTCGTGCTTTTTGGCTACTCATCAGCGTGGTCTTAGCTTGGTTAATTTTAAAGAATTGTTATTTATTTAATAAGGCGCTATTGGTCATGCGTTCGGAATATCGTCCGTATCCGTATGCGATCATGAAAAAAAGGTTTAAAAAGGATTAGGTTTGTAGACGGAGCTTTTGGTCCTGAAAATAACTCAAATTTCAAGTTGATCAGATTTATGAAAGTTCTGCATTTTAATGTTTTGTATATTTCAAAATTTCATCAACATTTTTCCTTTTACATATTCTAGTGCTTGACTGGTTTTTAAAATCCCAAATTATGCAATTTTGACATTTTTACGACAGCCCTTGAGCGCAACAATTTCTACGTCATAATTGACGCGGCTTCTCCTCTTCAGACCACAATATCAACACAGGTGTTCCCCAAGAATCGGTCTTAGCCCCGACATTGTTCCTCTTATGATGATTCCGATCTACAGCTTTGCTGATGACAACACCCTACATGCAGGAATTGAGAATTGAGAATCCGATCTCATTTTAATGCTTCCAAAACACAGTACAGTGTCTTAATTAACAAGAAGCGTCCTAGCGCTCATCCGGCCGAGTTCCGCCAGAAAATCATTCATTTCGGCTGGTCTGAGTCTAGATCACCGAGGACTTGATCTAACACGAGCACATCTTGTCAGTCGCGGCAGCAGCTGGGAAAAAACTAGAATAATTCTTTAGGGATAAGAACTTCTTCTCTCCACATAACCTCCTCACTCTGTGCAAGATCCAGATAAGTCCTTGCCACTGCCACCTTTGCTGTTCAGAGGAGGGCTGACCCTGGTCGTCGATGATCTCCCTTCTACCGCTTTATCAACGTGCTTTGCTTCTCAGAAATCTTCTCCATGATACCGTCGCGCCAGTTCGTCCTGACTTACGCTTCCCATCCTGACCGTGTCGAACTTCGTACATCCAGAACTGGTACCGCTTCTTTGTTCCTAGGGTGTCGAGGTTTTTCTCAGTTGTAATAACCCTAGGTGTCTTTAAGCTCCTTATAGCAGGCGTAGTGCCCCGGTATTTAGACTTTTGCATATGACTGCTCTTATAGAGCCAAAGTCACACAAATGCAAGATTTTTGCTTTGATTATAGGACAAAGATAAATGACGTCAAAAACCTTTAAAAACTCCTAATTGCTTTCCATAAGAATTTGTCTGCCTTCATTAAACAAATCTATAGTGTATTTATACCCAAGATAGAATGGATGCGTGATTGCCAAAAGCCAGGACGGCGTACAGGACCGCATTCAGGGCTACCTCCGAATGATGGTCTACCACCAACGTGTTGTAAAACAAAGATAACAGTATTTAACAGAAACAGAAACTTAACAAATTACTCAAATACACTTAACAACAACCACAGCAACAACCAAGCAAGGTGAATACGAAAACACGAGTACGCAGTGATACACGCGACGGACGGTGGCCTGAGTGCAACTCTGCCTGCCCTGCCCCTGCCCCGCGCATTATTCCGCCAGGCGACGGCTTGAAATTTAATGGCAAATTGACCAATAAGAGGCGTTGTCCCCACCTGTTACCGAGAGATTACGCGCTAACTGTTATTATTTACATCTCATCATGAATTTGGATTCAGTTTAGAGTTTATTATAAAATTGACCGTAAGCTTATTATTTTTTATTTCAGTCCGTTGCCATCACGCTAGAGCGTCCTTTTTATTTGTCGAGTCCCTTACAAACCGAGTGAAAGCCGTAGAGGCAAAATATATAGAGGGACCCTATTTCAAAATTACCATAAAACGCAAAAAGAAACCAAAAAAGGTTACTTTTGGATATTATGCGAGCAGAAAAGCCAGAGGAGTGTATTATCTCAAAACTAATGGAGCACAACCTTTCTTGACGAAATGTTGGAAAGATTTGATTGAATGGTGATATTCTGTATTCCGTTATATTAAATTGTACAGTTTTGTGATTTTTGTTTTATTTGTAGCCTGGTGTAAAATTTTGAGTATGTCCCTCTTCCAATTTTATTTACTTATTTATTAGTGCCGAGTACGCTTGCGTGCTTACACAGGTCAAAGTGGAAGTTAAAGTACAAAACTGTAGTCGCAACAATAATTATTGGAAAGAACAACATTAACATTAACTTGTTGTTATTTCCATGTTGTAGCCATATCGTGTAATTGTGTGTGTGTGTGTGTGTAATTGATCAGTTTATGAAATGCTCGATCATTTCAAGAGATGGTGACCACTTCATGAAATGGCCAATTGAATTTGACCGTGTCGTAATTGTCAATGTTTTACGATTTGGTCATACACAATTCATCTTACTGTAAAATAGGATGTCTATAGAATATTAAATAAAAATCCAGAATATGTTACGAACTTGTTTATTGCTCTTTAAATACGACAACCATGTTGATTAAAAGTAGTAACCTTAAGAAATTAAAGTAAAATAATTAAGTACAGTGGCGCATCGAAAACAGACGCATTTACTGGCAGCTCAGTTTTTGGCAAAAAATCACGTTAACACATGCAGCCCTCTGGGCGGGGGTGACACCAACCCTAAAATCTTAAATGGAAAGGGGGGTCGAGTGATACCTTATTTTAAAGGTCTTTCAATTCCCTTTATAATCATGTAAAATACATGAGCTTCAGTTCAGTAGCTTGATTTAAAGCTTAAACTAGACTTTAATAGGTACATCAGATTAGTTTGCACTACTTTCAGGAGAAATTTTACTAAAAGAATTTACTTAATAAGTAAATGCTTTTCTTCACTACGCTCATGGTTTGTTTATCATTTTGTTGCTGAAAATAGCTATTGGAGCGTTTTTGTGGCAAACTTTGTTGCTAAAATAACTTGTAAAGCTTTATTACATAAATTAACCATGGTATCTTCCACAGCAGAAAGAGTTGAAATTATCGAAATATTTTTCGGAAATAATCAGTGCACTACTAGAACAGCAGAAATATTTAAAGAGCGATATGAGAAAAGTAACGTGCATCGAAAATATGTTCTAGAACTTGTAGCTAAATTTCGGGAAACTGGGTCAGTCGCCAATAAAAAACGCAACATTAAAAATCCCATAAGGAACGAAGCAATAGAAGTGGGGGTTTTAGGGCAAGTTTATGTCCTACGTTAAGTACGCGCAAATTTGAGACTGTGTGTGGTGTTAGTCCACGTACTGTCCAACGGATTCTAAAGGCCCATAGTTTTCATCCGTATAAAATTCACCTGGTACAAGAACTTAATGAAGACGATTTTGATCGGCGATTACAATTTTGTGAAGATATGAGTGAACGAATTATAAACGATGAACATTTATTTCTATTCTATTTCCGACGACTGTTCCTTTTTCTTAAATGGCGTAGTAAATCGTCATAACTGCCGATATTGGTCCGATTCTAATCCCAGAATTTATCATGAGGTTCATACACAGCAGCCACAAAAATTAAATGTTTGGGCTGGTATTTTTGGCGATCATTTAGTTGGTCCTTTTTCCTTACCTGGAAATTTGACCGGTGAAGTGTATTTGGAATTACTGGAAGACGCCATAGATCCTGCATTAACAGCCATAATTGAAAATCAGAATGATCGGCGGTACATTGCGAATAGGTTGATGTTCCAACAGAATGGTGCCCCACCACATAACGCATTACGTGTTCGACAATATTTAGATCAGACGTTTCCATATCGATGGATTGGTAGAAGAGGTGCCATTGAATGGCCCCCAAGATCGCCAGATTTATCACCTTTGGATTTCTTTATGTGGGGTCATTTAAAAAGCAAAATCTATGCTATTCAGCCAACATCATTCGAAGACCTGCGACACCGAATTGTGAATAAGTGCCTTCAAAATACTCCTCAAACATTGCAAAATGTGCGGCAACGTTTATTATTGCATGGAGGGTCATGGTGGCCATTTTCAACATTTACTTGCCTAACGGGCCAGTTCATTCTTCATTTTTAGATTACTTTGCTGCCAAATGTATTGATCTCCACTAATGATGATGTATTAGTTTTATTTAAGCTTTTTTGCCAAACTTGTGTCCCTCTCGAAAACAAAATCGACGGGTCTGAGCGTTTTTCAAAAAAAACTGAGCTGCCAGTAAAAGCGTCTGTTTCGTTTTCGATGCTCCACCCTGTATATTAAAGTATTCCTAAGTTGCACAACGTGTCACAAATACAATTTTTGAACATATCAGATTTCTCAAATTAAGTTATTACCCTGCGTGGTCACCCTACTCTGGCTTACTTGACGAATAGCCTTAAAATGAAATAGAAATTAGGATAAACTTTACATACGTAGAATAATATTTAGACAAATACAATATTTTAGCTGGCAAACGGTTTTGACTTCCAATAAATGAATGATAATGTAATTTCGGAGTGAAGTTATAACAGGTGAAACAAGTTTCAAACTCCCACGGTTATTTAACATTCTGATCGGTACATGCGTCATCCGCATAGTACTCGAGAACTCGAGTACCTTTTTGCCGTAAAGTATTTCAATCTCACTTTCTTCCTCATTTGGTAACGCGTCTATCTTATCCTATGGTTTTCATTTCGATAATCTCCCATGTTTGCCTGGCCAATAAAACAACATATATTTGAAATTATTCTTTAATGTAGTAAATCATATATATACAGGGTGACTTCGAAGTTGAGTCATTTATTTTAACAGTGAGTAGATCTGATCAAAAGAAATGTTTTTTTCCTTTACCATTTTTCTGGTAAAATTAAAGTAACAAAGTTATAGCCCTTTGGAAGTTTGATTACCGCCCTGCCTATTATATGCTCGTGTTTGGCGACAACGGATATAATCCGCCTGACCGGTTCATCGCATCGGAAACAAAAAAGCGAAAGAATTTGAAACGTTTATCACGATGTTTTTCGTCAGTCGATAAATCCTGAGTGAATAGTAGTGTGTTGCGTGGCTCAAACGAAATCAAAAATGGCACATGTTTACGAAAATGCTGAACTTGTGGACATGATTCTTATTTACGGGGGGGCAGTCTTTACAAAATGCTCCCGGATGCATCACGGATTTATGCGAATCGGTTTCCCAATCGAGTGCAACCAACCCCTCGTGCCTTTGGTAATGTAGTGCAAAGGGCTCGTGAATCAGGTGACTTAAGACCTCACAGGTGAGGGCATGCTGCTCCAAGACCGCACGATCAAATACAGGTCCGCACTGAAATACTTGTCGGGAGGATACTTTATTAAACAAGGTAACATTTTTTTTTTATTTTTTATTTTATTTTTACACACATATTTTGGTTTATCTTCCTTCTACAATCATTATCTGAAAATTAATGACTCAACTTCAAAGTCACCCTGTATATATATATGGTCAAAATTATAATATAAAATATAATTTTGACCATTGTACCATCTATCCAGCTCTCACCATGTTACTCTACGTTTCCCTCATCCTATACGTAAACAACAATTAGCAACATCCTCATATACTACTCTCCTGATGATGATGGCAAAGTCCATTGAAAGCTAGAGAGAATTAAAAAAGTATAAAGAGTCCTCTTTGCTTAAATTTTGTCGAAGTACCCAACAAAAGGCGGAAGCTTTAATTTTTCACTTATATACATATATATATATATACAGGTATATATATATACTAAGTGACATATAAATCCGAACACCCAGTTTAAATGGTTTTATTTTAATAAAAGTTGGTGAATGTATACGTATTTATCTCTCTGTAAATAACAAGTGAAAAAATTTTCAGCCTTATCAGTTGGACATTCCGGTTTTTATACTGCTTTTTTTAATTCACTAACGCTCTAAAAATGAATATTTCAGCCGCAGTAAAGAATCAACGTTGGCGGATTTTGGTTCTTGACATCCTTTACGATCGGTTACGATGCCTAGAGTACGGAGACCTGTACGATTTCGTCAACCTAGTGAGTTTGATAGGGGCCGTATAGTGGGACTTCGGGAAGCTGAACTTTCTTTTCGGGCAATTGCAGTTAGAGTGCAAAGAAGTGTAGACACTGTGGTTAGGTATTGTCAGGCATGGCTTCGAGAAGGCCGTACGCAGACAGCAAGGGGCACTGGACGCCGCCGTAGAACAACAGACCGTGAAGATCGCCGCCTAAGATTATTGGCCTTAAGGGACCGTTTCTCCACTACCAGGTCCATTGCAAATGAATGGTTTGCAGAACACGGAAGACCTATTGGCATGCGAAGTGTTTACCGACGAATCAGAAGTTTTGGCTTGTTTTCATACCGGCCACACTGGGTCCTCCCTTTAACTCGAGAACACCGACGTAATCGCCTTGAGTGGTGCAGACAACGGTCACTCTGGGATCAGGAATGGAACAGTATTGTCTTTAGTGACGAGTCTCGATTTTGTTTAGGCATGCACGATAGTCGTGCCAGATTTAGAAGGCGACTTGGTGAAAGGAGGAATCCACAGTTTTTTGTTGAAAGACATGTTCATCACACTGTTGGAGTTGTGGTTTGGGGTGCTATAGCTTATGGTTCCAGGTCACCTTTAATCTTCATCAGAGGTAACATGAACGCGCAGCGTTATATCCACGAAGTTCTAGAACCCCATCTTTTACCCTATCTTGACACCCTGGCAGATCCAACTTTCCAACAAGATAATGCCCGACCACATGTTGCAAGAGTCACAATAGACTTCTTTCAACATAATGATGTCACATTGTTACCATGGCCACCAAGATCTCCCGACTTATCCCCAATTGAGCACGTGTGGGATATGATGGGTAGGAGATTGCTCAATTTGCAACGTCCTCCTCAGACTCTAGAAGCACTTCGAGAGGAGTTGGTGGTTGCCTGGAATGAGATACCACAGGAGGACATTGACCACCTGATCAGAAGCATGCCTAGGCGCGTTGGAGAATGCGTAGCACATCAGAGTGCATCCACACATTATTAAAGGTCAAAGGGCTTTAAAGCAGTGCAATCATTTTGAAATTTTTATCATT